CAGCACTGGTGCTCCTGGCTGGGAAGCCTGGTTTGGGGCTGGGATCGCTCAATCCTCATATGGGGACCTCCATAGCCAAGATGTCCCTCTGATTCTTCACTGCCACACGTGGGTGCAAATCAGCCCATTCTGCGTCTCTGCCTCTCCTACCAGTCTCAATGTGGCTGCTTCTCTGTATTCTTGGTTGTAAGACTTTTCTGTTCAGGTAGACTGCAGGTGGTTCCCAAGGGTGGTTGTTCCATAATTTAGTTGTTCCATAACTTGGTGGTCCTGGGAGAAGGCGAACACAGTGTTTACCTACTCCACCATCCTGACTGGAAGTCTCTGGCTCTTTAAAGCTTCCTCCTGGCCCCTGGTATTGGGGTGTTCTAATCATGGCTGTGGACCAGCCAGCCTCCATTCTCCTGCCTGGTGCTGAATTCTCCTTTGTGAGTGGTCAAAAACCCCTTAAAAGTGGTCATTCTTTTCCGCAGTTATGGCTCAGATCCACCTGTTTGCACTCATTCTTTGTCTCTCCCTTTTTTTGGCTGATGGGTAATCAGTGGGCCATCCACTGTTGACTCTGCAGTAGTTATAGAAAGACCCATTTCTGTTTTTCTGGGGCTCCTCCCTCCCAGAGCAGCGTCTGTCACAGAATGGGCACCTGGAGTGTTGGCTGAATGACTGATTGACAGTCCAGGCCTTTCGCTCTCTTACAGATCGAGTCCAAGGACCTCACGGCCGGCTGCCCCCTAGTATGGCCAATGAAGAGGATGACCCAGTCGTACAGGAGGTAACTGCTGCTCCTACCCTCTGCCCAGGGCTGCAGGCAGTGGGACTGGGTCCCTTCCATCCTCAGGCCAGCCAGGAACCTGTTGGTGTCCCCTTCGCCTGGAACCCTCTCTCCCCAGGTACCTGCCTGGCTGAGCCCCGCTCCCTTCAGGTCTCCAATCCAGCTTCCTGGTCAGAGGCTCCCCTGATCACCTGCGTGGTCACGTGGCCTCTCCGCGTGCGCACACCCTACTCCCCCAGCACTCTGGCCCCTTGCCTCGGCCTTGCCTCGCACTTGGCCACAGACGTTGGTCTCTCCACTAAGACGCAAGCTTTGCGAAAGCAGTGATTTTATCCCAGTTGCCTCGTCTGCAAAGCCAGGTTCAGTGCTTGGCATGATAGTTGTTCGGTGACACTCTCTGTTGGATGGGTGAATGGGTTTGACAACCGCCCTTCCTCAGATTCGGTCATTCAGCAGTTATTCCGTGGATCCACCGGCGCTGTGGCAGCAGTGACGAGGCAGTGTTCCTGCCACTGGGAAGCTGAGGGCTCTGGGGCGGGACTAGCAGGCAGTGGGAGGCAGTTTCCAGTCTCCCAGATCGGGCCCCCTCCCAGGGCCCCTGGGCCTTTGCACCCTTCACCCGTGTGTCCCTGTCCCGTGTTCCGTGTCGATGGCCCCTCAGTCGTTCTTGAGGCCTGGAGGCTGGAGAGTGTGGTTCAAGTGCAGAGCCAGGAAGCAGGACAGGTGCGCAGGGTGGGAGCGGTTAGGGTTTGTTGAGAAGGAAGCGGGCGGGGCCGCCCGGCTCCAAGGGCCTGCTCCGCAGACAGGGCGACAGGCTGATGCGACGGGGCTGGCTAGCTCAGGGCCTGGCCCCCAGGAGCTGTAGGGAGGGCCCCGGCTACCCGCAGACTGCAGACTCAGCCCCCTCGTTTCTGGTCCAGGCTGCTGCTGGCCACTAGCCGCCCCTGAGGGCTGAGGTGCGTGTGCCTGGCGGGCAGTCGGGCACTGGGTTATGTCCTCATTACGCCTTCTTCATTGTCCCCAGATCGACGTGTACTTGGCCAAAAGTCTGGCAGAGAAGCTCTACCTGTTTCAGGTAATCACGGGGCTGGAAGGTAAAGGGGGGATGCGGGTGCCGGTGGGTGGTGGCAGCCCCCGCCTTGCGTGGTCTGATAGCACGGTCCTCCTCGCCTTCATGGGTGCGATAAATAGTCCTGCATTTCGCAGGTGGGAAGCCGGGGCGGCCGTGAGGCAGAGCCGTGTGGCGGTTAGAGCTCGGGCTCGGGACAGACCGCGGCCCCGAGGCCCAGCTCCACCCCACTTAGCTGCCAGCCCTTGGCGGGGCTCCTTGATCTCTCTGTGCCTCAGTTTCCCCGTTTGCAAAATGGTGCTAGTAATAATACCCGCCTTGCAGGGTCCCTGTGGGGACCAGGTGAACCATGTTGGGGTGCCTAGAACGCTGCCGGCACCGAGACGAGGCGCCTGCTGTCATGGGGGCGCGGGCGCTTGGCGCAGCAGCTCGGTCCTGCTCGTGTGAGTCTCCCGGTTGTCGTCCCTGCCCCGCCCCTCCCGGCCGTGCCGCAGCTCATCACCGTGGCTGTCCACAGGCCCCTTTAAGCGCTGTGCACATGTGATGCACCGTCTCACGACAGCCCTGTGGGGCCTTTGTTGCTTTTATAGCCGCCTATTGAGGTCAAATCTGTGCACTGTTCCGGGGGACGTGGCAGTGGGGTCCAGTCGCTTCCCAGCGCTGTGCAGCCAGGTCCACCATCTGTTGTGGACGTTTCTGCACACCCCCCAACTCCCTGTCCCCCCGCTGCGCCCTGGGCAACCGTTAGCCTGTTTTCCGTCCCTGTGGATGTGCCCGGCCTGGACGTCCCATGTAAACGGAACGCTACCTGTGCGTGCCTGTGCGCCCGGCTCCTGGCACTCGGCGTCGCATTTCCGAGGTCGCCATATACCTGCACCGCAGTCCTTCCTGTGGCGGGCTAGCGCCGCGTGGCCGGGGCACGTGTGCCTCACCATCGGGTCGTTTCCGCTTCGGGGCTCTTAGGAGTGACGCTGCCGGGGACCTTCTCACGCAGCGTGCATGCGGACACGTGTTCTCGTGGCCCACGGGTCACTTGGAAACTTAGCGTTCCGAGGAACTGTAACACCATTTTGTGCCATTTTGCGTTCCTGACAATAGTTTGTTATTTTTGTCCCTACATCGCGTATGAGAAAACGAGGAGCAGGGTGGCCATGGCCATGTGCCAGGTGTGTGCTGGCGTGAGCCTCTGTCCCGCGGGCTCGGCCTTTATAGCCTGTGGCCTAGGGACCTGGCACCTGGGACTCTGCCCCGTCCCTGAGTGGCTGCTGTGTTGTGGGACCATGCTGGCGGCAGTGGCCTTGTGTGTGTTCGTGGCGTGCCAGGCCCTGTGCCCTGTGGACACGCATGGACACCCGTGCTGGGGGAGGCAAGGCGCTTGCCCGATCCACGAGTGAAAAGTGGAGCGTAATGGGAACGCAGGCCTGCAAGGTTCTAGAGCCCGCGCTTCTGCCACCACCTCCCCAGCCTGAGCCCCGGGGGCCTGGAGCTGCCCAGCGAGCCTGTCCCAGGCCAAGCCCTTCACAGGCGCGGACCAGCTGGGCTCTAGACTGTCCCTGGACACACGCTCCATGTCCCTGTCCCCCGCTCCAGCTCGGGAAGCGGTAGCTTGCTTGCTACTGAGGCAAGCTTTCCAGAAGGGCCGTCCTGAACTGGATGTGGCCCAGTGCAGCCTCCCTGAGGTGGCCCCGGAGCCCAGCCTTCCCTCTGCCACGCCCCAGGCTCACTTGGAGGCTGCCTTGCTCCGTGAGGGGTGCAGACCGTGACTCGTCCCCCCACCAAGGGATGCCCACACAGCGGGGGAGACAGAAAGTGCATGCGTGCGAGCCCCCTCCTCGCCTTCTGTTACGGACAGCCTCACACCGGCGGGCGGGAGGGAGGGAGAGACCAGATGGCGGAGTCCCGCGTGGCCTCGCCCGTCCTGATTTTCCTCTCTGCATCCTCGCGGTCCGGTCCCGGGTCCTCTACCAGGTGGCCTGTCACCTGGTAGCTCGACCTCGAACCTCACTCTCAACGCCTACAGTGGTGCTCTGTGGGTACCAGGCCATCAGGGCGATGTGCACGGGGCTTCGGGGTCCTGAGGCTTAGCCGTGTCCTTGGGCGTCAGACTAGGCGGATGGCCTCCGGGCTCGGGCAGCCATGGGGCTTCTGGCCTGAGTTCCCGGAGCAGCTCTGGTCGGGGCTTGACCGAGTGCACTGTGGCTCCCTCTGTTCCCAGTACCCTGTGCGTCCGGCCTCGATGACCTACGATGACATCCCGCACCTTTCAGCCAAGATCAAGCCCAAGCAGCAGAAGGTGGGACTGCGCTTCGTGCCGGGGTGGGGGGCGGGAGGAAGCCCGTGGGACTGGAAGCCCAGAGAAGCCGCGGGTGGGGAGTGCAGAACAGCCAGGGCCTCGGGACCGGAGGGAGGACAGCTACCAGGAGGAGGGAGGGCGGCGGCTATGGGGAGGCCAGGAGGCCTGAGGATCAGGAGGAGCAAGGGCTGGCGGGGCCACGCTCACAGGGTGCGGCAGGGGCTCTGGTGCCCATAGGCTGGGGTGACGGCCGCAGCCCCAAGGCCACTGCCACCTGGAGGAGCTGTCCAGTACTGCCAGTTCCGCTGACTTTTCAGGAGGAAGTGGAAGTAGGAGTTTTATGGGAAATCTTGATTTTGAGTCCAGATGTAGATCTCTGGGAATGGGTGGGGTGGGTTGGGGGACAAACCCACCCGCAGGACTCCCTCCCCATCCCCGAAAGCCTACTCTGGCCTCTCCTATAGGAACAGGCCTTGCGGCCTGCAGTGTGGACCGACGCCTAGGAGCTGGGGAGGGACTATGTCAGCCGTGCCCTGGGCAGGGCCAGGGCTGCCGGGTGCCTGGGAGGTGGTCACAGTGTGGTCAGGGGCGTCCCCGGACACTGTGCCTCAGGGTCCTCACAGCTGGTGGGGGTGCTTGCCTCCAGGTAGAGCTTGAGATGGCTATCGACACCCTGAACCCCAACTACTGCCGTAGCAAAGGGGAGCAGATCGCGCTGAACGTGGACGGCGCCTGTGCCGATGAGACCAGCACGTACTCCTCGTGAGTCCCAGCCTCGCGTCCCCAGGGGGCTGCCCTCCAGGGCTCCTGAGGCACCAGGCCTGCCCTGCCCTGTGGGCTCCCATGGGCACCCCTCCTTTGCTCCATGGGGCCTGGCACAGGCCCTTCCCCATGGGAAACGTTTCCCTAGGTCCCTTGAGGGGTGTGGGGGCTCCCACCCCCTTGTACCCCGGGCTCTAGACTGGCCTTGGGTCTTCTCCCAGCACCCCCTGCAGCCCTGGGCCGGGCCGCTGGGTTCAGAAGGTGTCGGGGGTGGAGGGACTGCGCGGCCAGGCCCAGTCGACGCTTCCTCTCACGTCCGTCCCGCACGCTCCCAGGAAGCTGATGGACAAACAGACGTTCTGCTCCTCCCAGACCACCAGCAACACGTCCCGCTACGCAGCTGCGCTCTACAGGCGAGGTACCCGCGGCTGACACCCCCGCGTGGCTCCTGGCGGCTGGTGGGGATCGCAGCAGGACAGGGTGCGATGGGGAGGCCCTCCCAGTCTGGCGTGCAGCCTCTCCCCCGAATGCCAGACGCCCGCGGGGCCAGGCCTGTGGGGATGGCAGATGGTCAGGGGGCTGGAATTGGCCATCTTGAGGGACTTCAGGCTAGCCATGCCCGACCGGCAGGGATGGGCTCAGGGTCATTGTCCTCCCGGGACACATCCCAGCTTTGGAGGTCTGCGACAGAATTTTGAGTTACGCGCACGACCCAGCAATCCCTTGCCTCGATGGCATGGACCCAAGGCCGACGAAAACTATGCCCGCACAAGCGAGGTCCCAGCGGCCCTCGTGCCAGGGAGAAAGGGGACCTTCCTGGTGTGCGTTGGCTGACGCCAGGTCACAGGTTGTGGTGCAGCGTGCAGGGGAGTGTTACTTGGTCATGACCAGGAGTGACGGACTGACCCCTGCTCAGTGTGACGAGCATGGCGAGGGTCGAGCCAGGTGAAGGAAGCCGGACGTGAAAGGCCACGCGCCGTGTGGTCCGTGTGTACGACACATCCAGAGCAGGCACATGGCAGAGGCGGAAGGCACAGTGCTGGTGCCCGGGCTGGGGGCAGAGCGGGCCGGGGAGGGGCTGCTCGGGCAGGGTCCCCGATGGGCTGTGGTGCTGGTGATGCCGCCCCGGACACGTCACGCTACATCGGATGGTGCACCTTATGTGGGCAAATCGTCATGTATCTCATAGCTGTTAAAAGTACAAGGCACGGCGAGTACTTAGAATTTGTAAAGCAGGAAGTGAAACAGACTTGAACCCCGAGGACACAGTAGCCTCAGAAGTGTGTCACGTAGCTGTCCTCGTCTGCGCCTCTGGGACCTGGTGCTCTAAGCCCTGTCCTGGCGGCCAGGGCTGCGCGTCCTGCTCGCTCGGGGGTCCAGGCAGGTCCCACACAGCCCCGGCCTCCGGTTCCTTCTCCTTCACGCCCCCGTGACTGAAAGCGGAGTGTCCTTGTCCTGCACCCAGGGATCGGGTCTGAGTCACGGGAGAAGCAGGCCCCCAGAGGCTGCGGTGCTCCCCCACCTTCAGGGGCCACTCTCCACCACATTTGCCTAGTGGATTTCTTAATGGGACGGGGGACTTGGACAGGAGAGGCAGGAGGACGGGAAGGAGCCGTCGGGGCGTCTGTGGGGTTGCGGGGACGGTGAGGGTGCTGTGTTTGCTGTGGACACTGCCGGCATGGGGAGGCTTTGCGAGAAGAGCCGAGTTCGTGCTGTGACCTGGTTACGCGCTCGCTGCGCCCAGCAGGCTGGTGGGGTTGGGGAGGTCCCTGGCCTGGCAGGGAGGTGGGAGGGCGTCGGGCAGTGGGCCGAGGGGAGTCTGTGGCTGCCTCGAGCCACACCGGGGGCCGGCCCCAGCTCCTAGCGCCGGCCCCAGCCCTGTTCCTGTGCCAGGCGAGCTCCACCTGACGCCCTTGCGCGGCATCCTGCAGCTGCGGCCCAGCTTCTCCTACCTGGACAAGGCGGACGCCAAGCACCGCGAGAGGGAGGCGGCCCACGAGGGTGCGCCCTGGCCCTGCCCTCCTCTCCGGCCGGGCGGGCTGGGTTGGCGTCCTCCTGGGCGGGGGAGGCACCCAGGGGGCGGTGCACAGAGTTCAGTGGCAGCCCTGGCCCCTCCCCGCTGGGTTCTAGGAGCAGCCACCCCTTCAGTTTTGACCATCAATGTCTCCATGCGTCCCCAGACGGCCCCTGGGGGACCAAATGGCACCCGGTTGAGAACCCCTGACTTACACAAGGCCCAGCCTCCCCGGGGGGCGGGGCGGGGCGCGGGAGCCTGGCTGCAGCAGAGACGCTGAGTCGGCTGCTTTCTCTCGCAGCCGGAGACTCTTCGCAGGACGAGGCAGAAGAAGATGCGAAGCAGATCACGGTGAGCCCCGGGGCGGGGGGTACAGCCTGGGGCGGGGGGCGCAGAAGCTGGCAGTCGTCTAATGTTTGTGCTGGGCTGGCTGGATGTCCAGCCCCCCTCTGCCTGGTGAGCTGTCCTTGTGGCAGCCAGGGTCACGGCCCTGGGCGTGCGTGAGGGACGGGGTCCTGGGCTTTGCCTGGAATTGCCGGGAGGAGGAGGCCCAGCCAGCCGCAGAGTCTGCACCCCGAACTCCCATGCCGACCAAGCACGTGGTCATCCTTTCACGGGTGCACGAGGGCTTTCTATCCTGGTAGTTATTCCTGTGTTTTAAGGATTATTAGAATATCAACCTTCCATTTATGGCTTGTAAAGTTTCCCTTAGTTAAGCACATTCAGATTGAAATGAGTATTTAAAGAAAAATCCAGCACCAGTGACTGTTGGAGATACGAACGCACAGGCTGCGTGGGGGCTCGTCCTGCGCTCGTCCTGTCATTGCCAGATGACCTGGGCACCTCTTGCTGTCCCGGGGGCCCCCACCCCGATCTCGCAGGCACTCGCGGGCCCCTGTAGGATTCCCTAGGCCCAAGACTGGTCCAGCCAACACCTGTGCGATGCCTGTCACGGGAGGGGCGGCTCGGGCGGCTCCATCTGGACCCCAGGGGACTGGCACGTGCAGAACAGGGCGTGTTGGTCTCTGCTGTTGAAAGGCTGAGGGGTCCCTTCGGGTGGGGCTGGGTTCAGGTGCTCAGGCGCCGTCACTGAGCCCTGGTTTCTCTGCTCCGGGGCCGTCTTCCTCAGGCGGGGTGTCTGTCCCCAGAGGTAGAGCTGTCCCAGCTGCAGAGTCCCATCCTCCCAGCTTTTGAGACTTGGGTGGGAGAGACACCTCTTCATCGTTATTTCTAAGTAACGATTCAGAGACTCCGGTGTGGCCAAATCTGGCCACATCCCTGTGGCTAAGAGGACTTGGTGCCTGGATTGTCTCGTCCGAGTCCCACGACCACCCTGTAGCCAGGAGGGCGTCTGGGGGCTGGGAGCAGGATCCTAGGGGGAACCGAAGGGGGACTGGCTGTTTCTCATAGGAAGATGGGGGTGCGGTTTCCGTGGGGGTGGAAACCCTGGTGAAGCTGCTCCCTGGCCTGTGCTGGCAGGTCACTGAGGGAGACGTTGCCGCTGCATTTCAAAGCCCTGTGCCGGGAGGTGAGGGGAATGCCCCAGATGTGGGGCCCCCGGCCTCCTGGTGGGGCTGGGACAGCAGCCCAGGACGTGTCCCAGGCCTGAGGCCATCGTGTCCCTCCCCGCAAGGTGCGCTTCTCTCGGCCGGAGTCGGAGCAGGCCCGCCAGCGCCGCGTGCAGTCCTACGAGTTCCTGCAGAAGAAGCATGCGGAGGAGCCCTGGGTCCACCTGCACCACCACGGCCTGAGGGTGAGCGAGCGCCACGGCCGGCCCGGTCTCTGGCCCAGGGAGCGACACAGTGCACTTAGCGGGTGCTTGGGGTACCGCAGCGGGCATTCTTATGGCCACTCTCAGTGTCCCCTGTCAGACAGGGCGCGGTGCTGGGCGGGTACAAAGCCCTGAAGACAGTTGGCTGAGGCCACCTCCTTGGGCTGCGCGTGATCCTATTGCCGGCCTTGGGGCGGGACAGTGGTGGCTGCAGTGGAAGGCGATGCTGGTAACCGGGTGGCAGAGGGGCCTGGGGGTGCGGGCCGGGGGCTTCAGCGATGCTCCTCCCCAGCAGGACAGCCGCTCCGAGCATGAGCGCCAGTACCTGCTGTGCCAGGGGCCCAGCGGCATTGAGAACACGGAGCTCGTCAAGTCACCCAGGTGGGACCGGGCAAGCCTGACACTGGTGTGGGTCCTCCCCTGGGACTGTGGCCCCTTCTGTAGCCTGGGGGAGGGCCATGGAGGGGCTGGGTCAGGGGTGGTCCTCCGTCTCTGGCGGGGGGAGGGTAGGAGTGGGCTCGGTTGTGGCTCTTGTCCCAGGGGCCTCAGCCTGGGGTCACGGGCAGCTGGGACAGTGATAAAGTCCTGGGGCACTGACCCTGCTCCCCTTCCACAGTGAGTACCTCGTGATGCTGATGCCGCCCAACCAGGAGGAGGAGATGTGAGTAGGGGACCGGGCACCCGCTTGCTACAGCCCCACCAGCCCCCCTGACGCCCACCTTTGCTCCCGACAGAGACAAGCCGGCTGCCCCCAGCCACGTCCTGTCCATGGCGCAGCTGCGTGCCCTGCCCCTGGCTGACCAGATCAAGACCCTGATGAGGAATGGTAGGTGGCCCAGCGGCGGTGTCCCCTCCCCGTCCTGAGATAGGTGACCAGGGGGTCAGGCTAGAGCCCCCTGTACGCACATCCCGCCTGGTGTCCCCACACAGCGTGGCAGACCCCTGCTGTGCGCTCAGTGGGCCACCCACCTTCCTGGCGTAGTCTGTTTGCTGTGGAGAGGGACAGGCCGCTAGAGGGCCAGGCCCCGCCCCGCCCATGGGCGTGAGCCGCAGTCACTCCAGCAGCCAGGCTCGTCCACTCGCTGGCCCAGCAGGTGACAGCCTGGCCACATGGGGACTGGTCTGCTTCTCAGGGACTCTCAGGGCCAGAACCTGTGGGGCCTGGAGCTGGTGAGTGGGGACAGGAGCCTTGAGCCTCAGAGCTGAGTCCCGGGCCCTGGCTGCTCTCCTGCGGTGCCCACTCGGGGGTCTTGGGCCTGAGGACAGAGGGGGCCTCCCCAGGTGCTGCCGAGCTCACACAGGCAGGGAGCTCAGGTGCCTGCGGTCAGCAGAGCATGGTATAAAGTGTGCGGACACTGAACCCCAGTAGCCCGGGGTCTCATTTTGGCTTTGCCACTTACTAGCCTGGTGGCCGTGGGTAAGTTGTGAAATGTCCTTGGGTCTGAGTAGGGGTGGATCTGCCCCTTAGGCGCCCAGTCTTCCTCAGCGGGTGCGTCTAGGGGACGCAGCTGAGGCGTGTCGCCGTCACTGACTGTGTTTACCCTACCGCCCATGCGCGGGGCTTATCTGCGAGCTGCCAGTTCTGCAGGCCTGGTGGGGCACAGGGAGGCCAGGCCCGTTCCCCTGGCTGACGGCCCTGCGTCCTCCCTTCTCAGTGAAGGTCATGCCTTTTGCCAACTTGATGAGCCTCCTGGGCCCTTCCACCGACTCCGTGGCCGTTCTGCGTGGCATCCAGAAGGTGGCGATGCTGGTCCAAGGCAACTGGGTGGTGAAGAGGTAAGTGTGCCTGTGACCGCCCTGGCTCTCTGCGCCCGCCTGCCCCGCCTGCCGGTCACTCGGACCCTCCCTGGGCCCTCGTGTGGCTCCACCCCCTGCCACTTTGGAAGCGCCCTCCTTGCGCTCTTCCCAATGCCCCCACAGGTTTCGGCGTGCACCCGTGACCTCTCTCAGTTCACATTAATGGCCGCTTTTTACCCTCATCCGGACAATTCAGAGAACTCAGAACGCTATACATTCGCTTTCCTCCCGGTTCACGTGCCGTGGTGCTTGCGTGTTGTGATTCCGCGTTGCACACCGCAAGACGTTATCTGATCAGCCTTCTTTCCATCTGCTCTGTTCGCTCGTCACTCACTCCTGCGTCTCCGAGTGTGTGGCCGGGGTAGTTCCTTCTGTAGAGAATGCCGTGGCAGTGTCTTCACCGAAGTCTGCAGAGGGCGAAGGGCAAGACCTACTTCAGCTTTGTTCCGAGACCATTTTTTATGGAGTGTAGACTTCTGGGTAGATCGTCTTCCTTCTGCACGCTGTATTCTGACTGCTGTGCCGATGAGCACATGGTCTAACACGTGGTCCTTGGGAGGTCCCCCGCCTCTGTTTCCTTTAGGATTCTCTCTCGTTTGGCTTTCCACGGCTCACTAAGGTGCGTCGAAGTGTGAATTTCAGCATATCCTGTCGGGAATTTCTAGTTCTTAGATTTGCGGCGTGAGGTCTTTCTGTTGTTTCTCGCCGCCTGGGATTCCCGTGCCAGTCCAGCTGCCTCCCCCACTCGACTGTCAGGTTCAAGGGGGCAGGACTGTCTGTTGACTCTCCCCAACGTCCCCGGTACTCAGCGTCGTGCCTGGCACAGTGTCGCCCCCTCGGGAAGGATGGCGTGGTTGTCTACGTTTTATGCATATTCGAGTGATGTTAATTCTAAATAGCGTAATGATGTAAAATACTTTTTAGAAAGTGTGGTGTAAGGTAAACGATCTGTTGAAATAGGAATCATCTCATTTTTTTAAAAAGTCATTGCAAAAAGTCCATCGTTCCTGTTCGTTGGCCAAGTAAGTTGTGCAGTAAGTACCTTCATGTCACCGCCACACGGTGACGCTTGTTCCCTGGGCAGCAGGTGCCTGGCGTGGTCAGTACCTGTAGCTGGTTGTGTGTCGCACAAGTGGTTACAGGTGGCAGACCTTTGCGATGGCACAGCGCTCAGTAGATGGCACCGACTATGTGTTTACGTCACGGAGGGAGGGGACCCAGGGCTGTCCTGCTCTACACCAAGAACGCTGGCCCAGACAGGCAGAGCGGCCCGCCAGCGCCTGGCCCCTGCAGTGCCCTGCGGCTGCTTCCCCCTCAGCTGTGGTCTGTCTCCATGACTCGAGGGGGGCCTCTTGGACCTTGCATGTTGTTTGGGTCCCCCTGTGAGCCCTGATGTGACGCTGTCCTCCTGCCATACCAAGGCCTGCGGGTAATGCTCCTTCCGTGCCCTGTCTTTTTGTGCCCGTGAAGAGATGACGCAGCATCCGTGCATTTGTTCCGTGAATGTCTTAATCGCTTGTCCTATGCCCTGCGCTCTCGTTCCGGCTCTGCCCCTGTCCTCCGGAGGTTTGTGGGGCGGGACAGGCACGCTGCCATGAGCACGCTGAGCGCAGGGGTCCAGGGCCTGGACCACGTTCACACCACACCGACTAAGCAGTTCCCTCCGTGTGCGGCCGTGATGGCAACGCCAGTCAGGTCCCTGTCCCCACAGTTTTTACAGGAATGGGGTGGGCACAGAGCTTGACCTTGAGGGTTCGGTGCCAGTTGGTAGGAGGAGAGGGGCAGGGAGCCGCAGGTGTGGAGGCCCTGTGGTCGTGGTGTCCTGGGGGTGGCATGCGTGTCCTGGGTGACAGGTCTGTGTCTGGACCCAGGTCTGGGTTATGCCGTGGAGCCACGTGGAAGCTTCTGGGCCTGGCATGTGGGTCCTGCTCACCCCAGAGGTCCACCCCCATGCTCAGAGCCCATCCGGGCCCCAGTAGCCCCCGCCTCCCCACCCTCAGGTCTCCTGGTGGGACTCCCTGTCTCCCAGAGCTGTGGGCTGGCACGTCAGTCCCCGAGGCTGGCCGTCACAACCACGCAGTGGCCCCGGGGCCGGGCCGTGTGTGAGCAGGGTCACAAGGGGTTGGAAAAAGAGCTCTTGGGGGTGGGGGTGCTTCCCTGAGTGCGTGTCACCATGCGGGACAGCCCTCAAGTGGGGTCCTGGGCTCCACTTGGAGCCTGGGGCAGGGGATGGGGCTGTGGACGGGGGCTGACCTGCCACCCCCTCCCGCTGCAGTGACATCCTGTACCCCAAGGACACCTCCAGCCCTCACAGCGGCGTGCCCGCCGAGGTGCTCTGCAGGGGCCGCGACTTTGTGGTGAGTGCTTGGCCCCCCGGCCTAAGGGTGGGGCGGGGCAGGGGAGGTGGCAGGCGCGGCACAGGCTCCTGGACCTTGGCTGGGCAGTGGGCAAAGTGCTGCCATTTATGGCCAGGGCAGGGCGGCGGGGCTCTGGACTCGCTTCTCCCCGCCCGCCTGGAATCCTGGAGCCCCAGCTTCGGCAGAGCTGCCAGTCCGTCCCACGGGGGCTGCGAGCCCGGGCCCAGGGGTGGGCTCTGGCCACACCCCTTCGTTTGGCCCAAGTGGTGTTTCTAAAGTGGTGACTTATGCGGTGGCACTCACCCGACGGCCGAGACCCTGGAGGCGACGTGGCATCCCTGCTCGGGCGTGTGTGGTCCAGGGGGGCGGTGGTCCAGCCTCTTCCCGCAGACCACCCTGGGGGGCCTTTACAAAGGAGGCGCCCAAGGCTCAGCGTCGAAGTGACTGCCCACTGCCCCAGCGCTATTAAGAGGCCAGGATCCACACCCAGGCCCGCCCGATGCCCCGGGCCGGCACCACCTCCCAGGGGGCCGGCCTGAAACAGCTGTTCTTTCTTCCTCAGATGTGGAAGTTTACGCAGAGCCGGTGGGTGGTAAGGAAGGAGGTGGCCACGGTGACAAAAGTGAGTGAGGGCCTTCCCGATGGGTGGGGCTGGGTGTGGGGGTGGGGGGCGCGGGGCTGGCCTCACCCCTGTGGCCCGCAGCTCTGTGCGGAGGACGTGAAGGACTTCCTGGAGCACGTGGCCGTGGTGCGCGTCAGCCGCGGCTGGGAGTTTGCGCTGCCCTACGACGAGGACTTCGTCAGGAAGCATCCGGACGTGGCCCGGCGGCAGCACATGCTGTGGACCGGCATCCAGGCCAAGTACGCGCGTGGCCGGTGGGCAGGGGGTGCCCGGGGCAGGCCGGCCGCATGGCATGTGCCCCCTCCCGCCCGGCATGTGCCCCCTCCCGCCCTTGGGGACGCTGCTGACAGCACAGGCCTGCGGCAGGGCGGGTGGGCCTAGTCTGGGCCCCAGAGGTCAGCTCCAGGCATGCGGCCTTCAGTGACCACCATCCTGGGTCGGGGGACGCTGTGCTGAGACAGGTGCTGGCCCACGCGGTCTAGAGCTGTCCCCTGCTCTTTCCAGGTTAGAAAAGGTCTATAACCTCGTGAAGGAAACCACGCCAAAGCAGCCAGAGGGACAGTCAGGTGTGGCAGGCGCCCGGCTGGGATGGGCGTGGGCCCTCCCCCTCCCCCACAGGCCTCAGCCTCAGGGACCGGGGGCTTCTGTACTCGGGGCCCCCGACACCTGCTCGGGTCGGCAGGAGCTGGGTGGCGGGGGTACAGCTGGGACCTCCGAGGGCAGAAACCTGATTTCCCGTCTCTTCTGTCCTTGGTGGGGCGGCTGCGGTCTCCTGTAATGGGGGGTGCGGGGGGAAGCAGGGCCGGTCCCCGCTGCAGCCCCAGCCGGCCTGTAGTTCTCCTGGCCCCTTGCCCCAGATGGCGGGGTGTCCCTGGTTGGGGTGGGAGGGCTTGTCCTCGGGGAGGAGGGGCCCTGGGCCTGTCTCTCTGCCTCTGCCACTCATGTTCCCCCTGAGCAGCCCCGTGTCCCCCCTCCAGGGCCTGCAGGGCTGGTCTCTGGGGACCAGCGGGTCCAGGTGGCCAGAAGCAAGGCCCAGCAGAACCACACGCTGCTGGAGCAGGAGCTGCAGCGGAGGAAGGAGCAGGCCCGGGCGTCCACGGTGCTGCCCGGGGTGCGGGTCAAGGAGGAGCCGCTGAGTGAGGAAGGAGAGGACGAGGGGCCCATGGACACGTCGCCCAGCGCCGGCCTCCACAACAGGCTGGCCAACGGGCTGCCTGCCGGGCGGGCAGCGGGTGGGGACAGCTTCAACGGGCACCCGCCCCCCGGCTGCGCCAGCGCCCCGGTGGCCCGGGAGCTGCGGGCCTTCGTGGAGTCCACCTTCCAGAGACAGTTCGTGCTCACGCTGAGCGAGCTCAAGCGCCTCTTCAACCTGCACTTGGCCGGCCTGCCCCCAGGCCACACGCTCTTCAGCGGCATCTCGGACCGCATGCTGCAGGACACGGTGCTGGCCGCCGGCTGCAAACAGATATTGGTGCCTGTGAGTAGAGCCTGTGCCCGCCGGTGGGCGGTGGGGAGGTGGCACGGGGCCCAGCCAGCGGCCCCTGTCCTGGCTCAGAGGAGCCGTGGAGAGGAATCTGGTCACCGCAGTGGCCTCGGCCCCGCCGGCTTTGGGGGAGCCTGTGTGGCGTGTGTGAACTTGGACCGCTGACCTTGGTTTGAGTCTCGGCGCTCAGGAGGTTGTGCGTGACCTTGGGCCAGCAGGCCTCAGGCTCTGCGCCCTCTCAAGTGAGCAGCTGTGGGTTCTGCATTTCAGGCCGCTGTCTGCGCAGCTGTCACACCCCATGGCACCCCAACTGGTCCCCGTCAGCTTTGCCAACTTTTAGGATGACTTTTTTCTTGGTGTCGTTGATGTTTGCAACCACATTTGAAACCCAGTTTAGAAAAGTGAGGTGAACCTGTTTGAAGGTCACACGCCCAGGAAGTGACGGCACTGGGACCTGAGCCCCCGGCCGTTCCCAGGTCCTGCCAGGCCCCCCTGTCCAGAGGCTGCATTAGCGTTTCTGGGGCGAGGCCTGGGGCTAGTGGGGTGTGCCACCCACACCCCGGGCAGACGAAGGGGAGAGCAGTGTGTGTTGGGGACCATTCCCTGAGCAGAGGGTGGACAGTGCCGGGCCATGCTGCCCCCCCAATGGGAGCCCGGGCACGCGCAGGCCTTGGGCGGGCTGAGCGGAGGCCGGCTTGTGCCAGGCCTCCTTGGTGAGGTCTTCTACGGAAGGTCCCGGGGTCTGGGCCCTGCCCTCCCAGGAGCACCCCTTTTCCACCCCACAGACGCGGTCAGCCACCTGCAGGCTTGCCTTTCTCTGAGCAGGGCCAGGCAGGAGAGGGGCAGCCCCCTGACAGCCAGGCTGTCCTGGGCGGCTGGAGTGCACACAAGGCGAGAGACGTGAACCCCACGTCACCCTAGGACTGGCCTTTGCCGTGCTGCTTCCTCTGGGTGGGGCTGGCATCTCTGGGACACCGTGGTCCTCCCCGTGGCTCTCCCACGATTCTGACGTGGGGACCAGGTCATAGCCGTGTCCGAGGTGGGGGGACCCCAGGTGTGCCAGCCTCGCGTTCTGTGCAGGGCGTGAGGACCTGAGAGAGGGTCCTGACTTCCGCTGTGTGCCTGACAGTGAGTGGGCCCCTGCGCCGCGGGGACGGTCTCACTTGGCTTCCTTGCTGGTTTGCAACGATCGAATAAGACTGCATCCGAGCGCCCCCTGCCCCGGGCCTCTGTGCGCTCCTGGCCACTAGTGTGTCCGGTGTGTGGCGCCACCTCCCTCTCCTGTCCAGGTGCCAGAGCCTGGGCCGCCCGGGAGTCGGGCAGGGCCTTGTGGGAAGGCACTGAAGGGAGCCCCAGGGAGTCCTGGAGAGTCCTGGGGGGTGGTGCTCCTCAGGACGCATGGGGGCGCTGGCACTCGAAGCAGAGGCTGCTGTAGAAACGGCTCCTGGCTGGTGGGTCGCTGTCACAGCAGCTCTGCTGGCGGGTGGCTGGCTTCCTCCTGTGACAGTGAGGAGAGACACGCAAGCTTGTGGCCATACAGCTAGCGAGTGGCAGGAGATGGCATGGAGACCTGCTTTGCCAGAAGTGGCTGGAGGGGCTGGGCAGGTCCCCGCGGTCAAGACCAGTGACCAGCTGACCTTGGGCCTCGCTCAGTTTCCCCCACAGACGGCTGCTTCCCCGGACGAGCAGAAGGTGTTCGCCCTCTGGGAGTCTGGAGACGTGAGTGATCAGGTGAGGTGACCTTTGCTGGCGGGAGGTGTTCCTGGGGGTGACCCGGAGTGTGGTCATGTTTCACGTTTTCCAGCCACTCCCGACTTGGTGTTGTGGCTCCTGGCCTCCTCACTGTCAGGCAGGCTGGAGGTGGCAGTAGTTTGAGCCCAGGTTGGTGGCTCCCAAGTGCCAGTCTGCGGGTTGGCCGCAGAGGCCGATGCCCAGGGCCTACCCCACAGGGGAGTTCTGTTCCCACAGAGCTTTCTAGATGCTGGTGCCGTGCCAGCTGGCGAGCCAGCGCTGGACCCGGCCTCAGGTGGGGGTCAGGAGCGTCCTGACCAGGCCTCTGGTGCTGGACTTTTAGAGAAGTCGGTTCTTCTGCCTCTAGTCGCACCTGGACGGGTCACGGGGTCCAGAGAACAGAACGTAACCGAAGTGGGAGCAGTGCATGTGTAGCGTCCCCTGGGCCCTCAGTTTGCCTGAGCTGTAAAGATTAGTTTAATTGCCCCTGCTGAGTTCCTGGTCCCCGTCTGCCTCTCCGACTGCCTGGCAGGACCAGGAGGGGATGGGGTGGGCGGGGGCGGCTGTGGTGCGTGGTGCCGTAGAGGGGCACAGTCTGGAACAGTCCTGAGCAAGCCTCTGCGCTGGTGGCATCTCCGAAGCCCCCTGATAAGCAAAAGAAAAAAGGCAGTAAGTGCGTGTTTAAAAAACCAGCGACGCCTGCGAGCTCCTGGGGAGCCGTCGCTCCCCGCCTGACCTGAGCCCCACTCCCCAGATGCCATCACTGAGCGGCCAGAGGGAGCCCCGAGAGAGCCTGCAGTTCGTTGGCGTGCCATACGCGCTGCTGGGTGCTCAGCTGGCCTCCCCGGGCCGGGGGAAGGCGGGGAACCTGGGGCTTGGTGCACTGCCGTCCCCGGCTGGCCGTGGTGCCGTCCTTCTTCTCTGCTCCTTCCTCTTTCACTGCGGGCTCTGAGCAGGGACAGGTGGCCTACCAGGCCGGGCCGGTCTCGTTCCCGGCAGCCTCCACCGTGGGCGGGCTCTGCTGCTCCTGGCCTCAGGGACTCGCGTCTTCCTCCTCGATTCAGTTCTGCCCCCCAGGGCAGAGGCGTTGCCCGCGTGTTTCCATGCCCTGCGGTGGCTTTCTTGGGCCTCGGCTGTCTGGGGCTGGAGCTGCAGAGCGCAGAGCACTTTCTGTCCGCGCTGTTTTGCATCGAGCTTTCAGAGTCGTCAGTGGCATCTGCGTGTCGGTCTTTTAAATCTGCCTCACATCCTCCGTTCATCACAGACGTGATGTTTGCTTTATTCTGAACGCTGTGCATCGGTGCGATTTCCGATGCACCCGGGTGTGTCAGTAACGTACCAGATAGGTACGTCGTTCCTAGGAAACTCTGTGATTTGGTAATTTACCTGTGTTTTCCTATGTCACGTGTTGGACATACTAGGTCAGATTTTCTCATTGAACGCTTTTTCTGTCTTTGGGGGGATTTCAGCTGTGTTCTATTTATTTTGGGGGGACGTAACACTCCGTGGCCCCCTTTTCATGGACGCAGCGTTGCATCTGAGTGTCAGGACTGTAAGCAGTTAGAAGGTGGCTGTCCCTCGCTCCCGTGCGCCTGCAGAGGCTCGGCCACACTGCCACCCTCATCAGCTCTTTTCTTGCGGGCACAGGCCTTCGGTTTTCACTGGGGTCTCGTGAGGTGACAGGGCCCCGCTGTGGGGACCAGGGCTTTCTGGTTTGGGGGTGTTTCTTAGGTGATTGCTTCCCACAATAACATGTTTTTGCTACTAAAGCATCGACAGGTTTTGCTTGAGATTTTCTCCAAAAATTACCGGGTACGCCGGAATCTGATCCAGTCTCGGCTGACTCAAGAGTGCGGCGAAGATCTGAGCAAACAGGAGGTGGACAAAGTGCTCAAGGTCTGTGGGTATCTGCTCTGCCACGAGCTGGGCGTGGGGGGCTGGCGGTGTGGAAGGGCCCGTTCTGCTGCCTTTCCTGCCCCCTGGTGGTGGCGGGAGGTATGTACAGAGGCTCACACCCAGTGAGCGCCGGCTCCGCCTTCGAAAAGGATATAGTCTAATAGGTCGCTGCCCTCACCCCTCCCAGTGACAGGGCTCAGCGGAGAGTCCTGACCCTCCGTCCAATCCCCCTCCACTCCCCCCCCACCGCCCCGGTCTCGTACCTCTTCCACGTTTGCCACATATTCTATGTCGCTTAACTCTCACTCGGTGTCTGCCTTTTCAAACTAGTTTGTCTAGCATGTGGACACACTTAAGTGTGTGACTTCCCGTGATGCTTCATGAATTGGCTGTGGTCCAAATACCGTATCTGTAGAACCACAGGAACACTAAGCCGATGAGTTACCCGTGTCCTCATCTAGTACCTTCACCACCCACAGCCACATGCAGTGACAGACGGTTGATGAAGCCCCTTTGCCCTGGTCAGCATATTCAGATTTTGTGTTTATAGAGGACATCCTCTTAAAGCCCCTTGAGGAGAGGAAGGGGCTTGAGGCCCAGACACTGATGAGGCCAGGCCGGTGGATTTCCCCTCGGGGTCTGCCCACTCCCCATGAGTCGGGGTGACACTCTGCACAGAACAGAGGAGCCGCCTTTCCCGCTAGCACCTGCCCCTAACCTGCTCTGCGCTCCATTCGTAGGACTGCTGCGTAAGTTACGGTGGCATGTGGTACCTTAAAGGGACAGTGCAGTCTTGACAATGGCTGCGAACCACCCACCCGACGCCTCTACACCCTAGGACAGACAGGAGAGCGCCAGCGGAGGCGGAAGCAGGGTCTCGGTTGCTTCGGAAGACACGGAGTAAGAGGGACCGACCAGCCTGGGACCTGTGCTGCCACTCTCCAGTGAACAGAGGGGGGCAGACTCGGCCTGTGGCAGGTGGTCCCAGCAGAGACCCTGGGACCCCTGCAGCACGGTTCGAAATTCCTGAAGCATTGCGCTCATTCCTTGTTTGCTACGTCACAGCAGAGTGCACATCGACACGGGCAGGATGATGAAAATCATGGATCAGTGTTTTACTTTTCAGACTTAATGCCAACAAGGTCTAAGTTATGTTTACAAGATGAAGAAAACCTCAAGGTTTTTAATATTTAAAATACCTAGAAGCCAATATTTAGTCTTTGATGATCTAGCTGCTAAGACTTCTGCCGGTTTCATTAAACAAACCAAATTGAATTGTTTGACCGTTGGGTTTCTGTGGCCACTTTACTTTTCAAACAACCTACTTAATGTAGCAGTCTCCACTGTTTACATGAACCATAGCAAAAAAAAATCAGTCAAATCCATCTATTAACGTTTGCATAAGGATGCAAAGAAAACCAGGTAAGTATGGAACAATGTATAAGTGAAGTTATCACTTTGATGTAAAAAATTTATATTTTGTGTATTTTTAAAATAAATGCTAACACTCACCTGGCATCGTGGTGCTGTCATCTTCACCTGGCCAGAGGGAGGTGAGACCATCTGTGCAGGTCAGCGGGCACGGGGACCCGAGGGCCGTGCGTCACAGTAAGCAGAAATCTTCTCGTAGACACACTCAAGTAGGAGAAACCAGTTACAGTCCAGCCTAACGGAGCGAAAACATCAGCATGTAATAAAAACATTTCACATTCCTGGTACTAAGTTTTCAAAATCTGGTATCGCAGAACATTCTTGATTTGGACTAGCCAGAGTTTAAGTGCCCGATGGCCACCTGTGGTGACCGTGTTGGACAGTACAGCCCGAAGAGCCTGTGCAAAGGTAAGAGGAAGCTGACACTCTGCCGCCTCAGGCTCCTGCCATCCCGCACTTAAGGCGACCGCCACTGCTCAGGTGCACTGTACCCCGCCCCCACAAGGAAAAAAACTAGTATTTGGTAACACCGTTTAACAGACCGATTGTCTGTTATGTTCTTGGTTCTAATTGTCAACATCCATGAGCCAGATGACCGTGCAGCGTCCCCCTGAGCAGAACCCAGGCTCAGTGGCCTCGCCTTAAATGCTTGTGTACTTTCATGAACAAAGGGACGAGTTAAACACTGAATTCAAACAGCTAGAAAATAAACATAAGGACTAGAGGAAAAAATTAACATTAACAAAAACTGAGGTAAATGTGAATGTAAAATCAAATATGCCAGCATTTAACCAATGAAGGACAATGGCGCAAACCCAAACAGACAGCGAAATGGGAAAAGTTAGAGAAATCAGGCAAATGAAAAGGAAAACTGGCTAGAAAAAAATGGCAACAGACCAATTCTTAGAAGAGGGCCAGGTATCATCACAGTCGAATTATATCAAGTCTATAAGACAAACGGAAGCATTGATCAAAAATCTGACAGACAAGAACGTTCCATTCAGTCCAGGTACAGGTGGTTAAAATGATCAACGAAAAGCTGACATGCTGTCAAACACTGGGTCAGATGCTCAGTACTCAGTATCGAGACAGATGTGTACTCACCATAATTATTTAATATTCTGGAAACACTAACAGCAGTCAGACGAGTAAGAAAAAGGGTATAAAAATAAAGGTCAAAATTCACATTTTTTCAGATACACCCATAGTATCAACTAAAAGCTATTTTCAGTGAGAACTGAACAAAGCAGCTGGAATCGATAGCTTTCCTATGCGCAGCTAGTTAGAAAGAAAAGACTTGACTTGCCTCATCCAGGAGATGAATCTTTTAAAAGAACGCAGGACCTAAATGATAAAAATTTGAAAACCTGATCAGAGCATTTGAACAAATCGGAAGGTATAAACCCATCTATTGGAAGTCTATCATAATCTATTCTTAATTTAACCTATTTCTTTTAAGTTGATCTCAATGAAAGTAACAACTTTTCTCTCAAGAACCAGATCAGCTAATTTTAAATTTCATATTGTGGAAAAATGCAAAAAAAGTCCAGGAAAATTCTGAAAAAGTAGTGAAGGTAACTCCCTCTTACCAGTTAAAACATATAGTATAAGGCTATTTAGCAATTAAAAACTGCCCTAGGTACGTGAAAATCAGACCCTGGAACAAATAAGTTCAAATTCATATATAACTTCAGTACCGATTCGGTGGTATTTCAAGTGATGGGATAGACAACGTTTAGGATGATTCTCGGGAGACGGCAGAGTCCGAAGCACCGGGAGTGTGTCTCCCGTACAATTGCACGGGCACAATCTGCACGACTGTTTGAACTCAGTCTGTAAAGGCTTGCGACTTCTGGGGAAAACTTGGGTTGTAAATTGTTAATTCTGGTCAGTTTCAGCTCTTAGCACAGTAGCAGCTCCCCATCCCCACCCCTGCCTCGAGCCCGGCCCGACCCAGCCCTAGCCCAGCCCCAGCCCAGCCCCAGCCAGGCCGGCAAGTTCTATCCAGGCAGCCAGCCTAGCATAGCCCTAACCCTGGCTGGGCTGATTTGTCCTCGGAGTCCTGGCCCGGGGGAGGTGGGGGAGGTGG